TGGCCTTAGTTAGGGGCATGGCAGTGCATTTCTCCTAAAGTTTTAGGGATGTTATCCCCTTCCCCCACTTTTCACCAGCAGGAGCCCAAGTTCTGCCTCTCAAGGCTAGGATGGGTTCATCTCACATCTGTGTTACAACTTATCTGCATAGAACCCCATGCGAGCTGGCGGGAGGAGAGTAGTCAGCCACTGGAAGAGCAGGGAGTAAGTATAAAACTGCTGTTGGCCAAATTACCAGGTAACCCCTGTGTCCTCGAGACCATACAGACAGAGACTCCTAGGAGTATGTTCTAGAGGCTGCATCAGGCCATCTCATTGAATCCTCTCATCCTACAGATGGGAAGTGAGGATGAGCTGTTTGAGTACCATGGACACAGTCAAGATTGGGATCTAGGCTTCTGGGCTTGTCCTCCAAAGCAATGGGCCAGCCTTGTTTCTCTGGGGAACCAGGGTAAGAAAAGGTTCAATGGCCAATTCCTCCCCGGTGTGGCTCCAGTGCACCCTGTCCCGGAGAGCCTGCCTGTTTTCCAACCACGTAGTGTGGTGGAGCAGAACGCACACAGGCATGGGGACCTGATAGATCTGGGCTCAGAGCCCAGCCCTACTACTCCTCTAGCTACATGACCTTGAGCAAGCTAGTTAACCATGCAGTTTTGTCATCTGGAACGCGGAGATAATACCACCTTCCCTCTTGGGGTCGGTGAGGGGATTGAACACAGTCGGGAATGGCGAGGACCTTGGCTTAATGCCTGCAGCTGGTGCACACTCATTTAGTTTTAGCCACCCCCATCCTTCTTCTGTCCAAAGGGCCATTTCTGCTCCTAGGATTTCACCTTATTCCCTGTCTCAGCTAGCAGAGGATCCAGGGTTGTGCAAGGCTCCAACCAGAGGAGCATCTCTCGGGTGTCCAGGAAGGCAGGACTGTACCTTGACTTAATTGAATTTAAGGCGATTACAGATTGTCAAACGCAATCTTTGGTTTGGTTTATAGCCCAAGAGTATTGTTTGGGGATTATGAAACAAAATGGAAAAACTCTATAAAATGTGTTTATGTGTGTAATTATGTATGAATAGGAGGATCTTTTTTTCATTATACAAAGACCATCCCATTTATAACTTGGTCCCTTCAGGTCACCTGTTCCTCTCAGGATTCTCACTCTGCAATCAGTTTTCCTAGAATGATTCATATGAACCTCCCAGGAAAAGGCTTTCTGTAAACACATGTTTTGCCACCTCTGGCCTTCTTGCAAGGTTTCCCAGCACTTTGGAGCTGAGGCAGCAATGTGCCTGAGCCATAGATTGCAAGATGCCCTCATGGTTTTAAGTTTCACCAAGAAAGAGGGGGGAAAAAATCACTGTTTATTGTCATGGTAAGATTTGATTAATCATTAAACAAATCCTGACTTCAGAAATGTCAACATGTAGCTAGCTGGGCACCACTGACTCAGTGAGATTCGGTCCTCCAATTAGCCAGCAAAAAGCTAGTCTGGAGGTGTTGCTCAAGTGGTAGAGGTTCATCCATGAGCAAGCAAACGGAGAGTACAAAGCCCTGAATTCAAGACCCCATACCAGAAAAAGAAAGACAGGAAGAATGAAAGAGTTAAAATGTGAAGAAAACAAATGAATCATGTAGTCAATGACATTTAATGTTTGAATAACACTGTCAACTAGGCTTGTTAGCACATAGCAGAATGAGAATGGACAAATGAAGGCTAGTCCCCAGGTTATATTTGGATTGACATTAATTTCCTCTGTTAAAGACAATACTTTTTCTGTGGGTTCCATGAGGGCAAAGACAGGGGTCTGTTCTGTTTGTCACAACATCAGTCATAGTAGATACTCAACAAATATTTGCTGAATGAATAAATAAAAATAAAGCCACATTAGGAAAGATGTGGAAAGAACAGAGAAGAAAATGAATCATTCACAATTCCCCCACTGTGGGTATTTTGGCTTATTTCCTTCAAGTCTTATTTCCTATGAATATGCTCTTTTATATATTGGTAAACATAATGTATTATTAGATTTAGCTCTGGGATGTGCTTTTGTATTTCTCTATTAATATGAATGAAATGATGAAGCGAGATGATGTGGAAATGCTTTGAGGACTGTAAAATGTTTAACAAATATCTTATTATTAGTTATAATAAGCACAGAAATGCTGATATGAATGGGGTTGATTTGCTGAGCATATCCTTCAAAGCAAACTACTCTACTCTGGGAAGCTGGGATGTGCTCTGTTTCTTCATCATGCTCACTGTGGGGGGTCTCTCTGTTTCGTAGTGGGAAGAGAAATAGAGACTTAAAGCTTCTTAGAAATCATCAGTTCCAATTTTCTACTCAGCCCAGAAATTTCCTCCATAGCACGAATGGAAGGTGGGCCTAACCCGGAAAGGGGCGGGTGGGGTGGGGGTGGGTACTAAGTGCATCTCAGGCTGCTGAGTTAATAGCTACTTCCAAGAACTTCTCTTCTGCAGCTGGTGTTATGGGTAGGGTGGTTGCTCACTTACACTGCATACTACTAACAAGCTAGACACCAAGGAATGCCACCACAAGGGGTACATTCAGCAGACCACCAAGTCAGACTTGCCTCAGACAATATGTCTAAAGTTTACCTTTCAAGAGTTCAAGAATTCCTCTGCATATCAGTTGGTCTACCCCGTGCCCAGTCCTTTGCAGGCAATATGGATCTGCTCACACAATGTAACAAAGTGCTGACAGAAGATCTGCCCTTGACCACATTCCAGCTTGGTTCTCCTGAGCCTCTTCTCCACTAACCTTTAACCCTAGCCCATGAGGGCTTACACAAACATTAACACAGTTTCTAGGAGCTCAAAGCTGTCAAAAACAAGTACCATTCACTCCAGCTGATATCTGAAGACTGGAGCCTTTGTGAGAAGGTAGGGGCTCAACTTGAATAAGCACCAGTTAACAAACCCAGGTGGGTTTTACATGGACCATTCCTCTTTCCTGCTTGAACTTGGCCTGGGCACTGTCCCTTACTTAGCTTTTTGACTCAAGGCTAGTGTTCTACCACTTAAGCCATAGCTCTACTTCTGGCTTTTCAGTGGTTAATTAGAGATGACAATCTCACAGACTTTCTTGCCTGGGTTGGTTTTGAACTGTGATCCTCAGATTTCGGCTTCCTAAGTAGCTTAGTGCATTTTATGATTTTTTTTTCTAATTCTGTTCAAGCCCTTCCTATCTGTCCCTCTTCCTCTTTCCTCATTCTCTGTGGACATACCCAATCATTTCTATATAGATTCAAATTGTGTTCTGTTCATCCTGGACCTTGTCCTTATGGCAATAGCATTTTTCTTTTTCTGCACTCACTTGGCTTTTGTGCTCTAGGCTGGTGCTCTATGACTTGAACCACACCTCCACTTGTGGCTTTTGCTAGTTGACTGGAGATAAGATAAGCTTTCCTGCCCAGGCTAACTTTGAACTGGGATCCTTAGATCCTGAGTAGGTAGGATTACAGGCATGAGCCACTGGCACCTGGAAGCAACAGCATATTACAGATGGAAATTTCACCTTACTATGTCCACTTATGTCTGGCTTTGCTCATTTCTGACAGTTCTCAAGAGGTTCCCAGTTTACCTGTCTGTCTGTCCACCTTTGCTGGATAATCCATATTCTCACTCTTTCTGCCTCTCAACTTCTGGGCCTTGAACTTCCTTCCTGACATCCATGTAATCCTCTTTGTTCTCAGGAAGGCACTTTTCTGGTTACGCTGTTTGGATCCTGGCTTACCCATCCATTTCTGCATATAGTGGGCAGCATACGCCCCAATCTCTGAGGCTCATAGAGGCCAGACTAACCTCCCAGAGCTCCCTCCATCTGTTGGCAGGAGAGGCTGACCTTAGTTTACACCAACCGCCCCCTGTCCAAAACAGGAGGCCTAAAATCATCCACTCTCCTAGGGACTTAAAAAAATGTAGCCCACTTTCAGACTCATAACCAGTTTTTTTTTAACATACCATATTGCTTTATAAAATGGCTAAACAGCTGGGAACAATGCCACGTGGAAGATGGCCTTTGAGTCAAAATTTAAAAACAGGTCAGACTACTCAGTTTCAAGTGTACATCTTTCCTTACTGCCTAGTCATGGCTCTCCTGAGTCTTCCCTCTTCTTACGGCCCTAGACTGTGCTCCTATCATGTAGCAACTCCACTCTGCTTGGAGCCATCCAAAACAAGTTGTCTTGGGTGATTTGGCTGAAGACTTCTGCTATGTCCTCATCTCTTCAACTTCTATTCTAGGCAAACCAGACCAAAAATATCCAGGAGATGAGAGGGGGGGGGCTGGTATCTGTATCCCTCTGCCATCCTGCTTTGAGATTTCCATCCTACTGAGATTCTGCTAAGGATTCCCTTCTGAGATGTGAAACTCATTTCAAACATGAGGCGGTGCCAGCCCTCCTTCTGTGAACTGGCAGCTTTCCTGCAGTGATTGTGGCTGGCTGAGTATGGACCCCGTCCCTGGGCTATATCAAGGGGTGGGAGGGTAGAAACCCATGTAGGAGAGTTCACTCCACTTAACTATGGCAAGGAAATGATTTTCCCAGGCCTTTTCTTTATGTTGGCTGCTTTGAATTAATCCAAGTGACGGACTATCAGATGCTGGTGAGCACTTTCCTTGAGCATTCAAATAACTTTTGTAAAAAGTATTAACCTGTAAAGAAAAGTCTACCATGATAGTATGTTGTGGGAAAAAAGTCTTCAACCATTCAGTAAGAAAAGAAAGCAAGCTGAGTTTCCCTGCACACTCAATTTTAGGAGCCAATGAGTAGAGTAGGAGAATCGAGGAAGGAGGTCAGCCAGCATCCTTCTCTAGTTTCAGGGTAAAACCCTTTACTGTGAATGGACCCAAGCTCCATTCCAAGCTTCTCGGGCAGATTCAGAGCCTGCCAGAGTGGGCTTTGCATTTCTCCCATCAGGTCTCTGAGGGTAGCTGGGGTAGGCTGAGGATCACTGACCTGGGGAGCCCAGGAAACTTACCCTCTGCTCCTGTGTGGCTACGAAGGTCTGGAACCCTGGAGCCACCCCAAATCCCAGCTCCTGAATGAAAGGCGGCTCAGATTGACTGTGGATTTGAACTTTCACTCCCGCTTCAAATGTCGTTTCCTCTGAAAGAACAAAGGTGGACAGAGGTATGGGTCAGTGACAGATGCTCAGGGTTGAAAAGTTCAAGATGTCCAAAGGTCCATGATGGATGATTGTGTCCAGAGAGATATTCACACCCATGTTGCTGGATACTGAATGTGTGACCTTATACAGCAAAAGGGTCAGTATCAGTGTCATTAAGTGAAAGTTCTTGAGATGGAGAAATTGTCCTGGATTATGTGGGTAGGTCCAAAGTAATCACAGAGGTCTTTGTGAGAGGATTCTGGAGATCTGTCAGAGAAAATGGAAAGATGCCACACTGTTGATTTTTGAAGATGGAGGGGGAGACTCAAGCTAAGGGATGGAGGCAGCTTCTAGAAGCTGGAAAAAGCTTTCCCCTGATAGACTCCTGAGAGGGACAGAGACCTGCCAACAACCTTGATTTGAATAAACCTAGCCAAACCCATTTGGATCTTTGACTTGAAGAATTTTAAGATAACCAATTTGTGTTCTTTCTAGCCACCAAGTTTGTAGCACACTGTTTCAGCCACAATGGGAAATACTTTCAGGTCAGTTAGGCCAACTGCTTGTCTTAGTCACCAAATCTGTGGAATGGAATTATGAGGAAAGTAAAGGAATAACTTCCTTTTCAAGACTAGCTGCCTTCCAGCCTTGGAAGGATTCTTTGAATTACTTCATATTTTATTTTATCTTTTATTATGATTTTATTATCTAAGTTGGTGTACACAAGAGTTTCAACGGAACATATCAGTTTATGAGCAATGTGCACTTCTTTTTTGGGGGGGAGGGGTTGGTCATGGGGCCTGAACTCTGGGCCTGGGCGCTGTCCCTCAGCTCTTCAGCTCAAGGCTAGTGCTCTACCACTTGAGCCACAGTGCCACTTCTGGCTTT